TGTACCGATATCGAGAAAAAAACCAAGATCAAAAGCATATCTTTTAGTTTCGATAGGATCCATAAACTCAAGTTCTCTGTCATATATAAAGATGGAACAGAGCGAAGACAATAACCACGACCGTTGGTCTTACAAATTAGTCTGCAAGCCTGAATTTTAAGCCGACTTCTAGTCGACGAATTTATTCTTCTAGAATGAAATTCTTTAGGACTATTCTTAAAGCTAATTATATCCGTGCCATGATAGTTTAAAAACAACGCTACATTGCTGGCGTCTACTAAATGGTCCACCGAACTGCTCTCCAAATTAATTTAACAAATAATTTAAATAATTATCAACAGAAAGTCGACATTCATATGGAAACCAGTTAAACTTATCTCAACTATCTTGATTGAGGCCGGGCCTTTAAGAAGAATGAAAAAAACGATCAATTCGTTCTGCTTTATCGATACCGTTTTCATACTGAAAAATACGAAAAGTTTTGGGATTAGTTCATCGGAATATTTCGCTTGAACTTGAAATGAAGGATCACACAGAAACATTATAACCTTGTTTGTATAGTAACGTACATGATGACATTAAATGTTAATAATACATGAACCATTTTATAATGGTGTAGATCATAAATATCCAAAATCCTATGATACTTATGATACAAAAAAAATCACAATGGTGGTCGTCTGACAATTTCATCTTAACGACAAAAGGATAAATTCATTTCTCTTATTCTAAACACTCCAGTAACACATACATAGTGTATATGCACATGTCTTTTGTTTATGACACTATCGAAATTTACTTTTTATTTAAATTGTCATCAGCAAAAAGAAAAAGAAAAATGGACCAGAAACTGCTTACTTTACCGGAGCAAAATTTTGATATGGTTCGTTTTGCAATTAGATATAAATGGGTTACTTTCTCAGTGATTTAGTAACATACACCAAACAAGCAGCATACAAATGACATTGTAAATTTTTGTATTCTTGTCTTTCATTTTTGCTGATGTGCTTTGTCTATATGCCCTTTTGTACATCTTTGTTACATCTTTGTTAGTTTTTGTAGTGATTAAGATTATAACACAATGTTGACTGCTGTACCCCTATATTGGACATTTTTACCAATTATGTTTTTTTTTTTTGTTCACACATCGTTGTCAATATAATGGAATTCGATGCAACTGTGATACAAGTGAGAGGTTTAGCTAGCTATAAAACCAGGTTTAATCCACCATTTTCTACACAAGAAAATGCCTGTACCAAGACAGGAATATGACAGTTGTTATCCATTCGTTTGATGTGTTTGTGTTTGAGCTTTTGATTTTGTCATTTGATAAGGGACTTTCCGTTTTGAATTTTGCTTGGAGTTCAGTATTTTTGTGGTTTTACTTTTTGCATGTATATATATTTACAAATTTATCAAAAGTAAAAACAGAGAACTAATACACATACCTTTCTACTGTATGACTTCTTTTACTACCTGTAAAATACGATGCACTTTTTACGATGTATCCAATAAAGCAGTTTTACGATGAATTCAGTAAACATCAGCAACAAAATGATATTAGTTTTATGAAGTACCCTTCAAGCTATGTGCAATGGAATGTATCATAATATTTTTCGTATGTTTAATGCAGAAACATTATAGGTCTCGTACATTTTTTTAACTGATGACTTATTGTATACTTTTTATAATTTCGATTGATTGATGGATAGACGACTTTTAAACGTCAAGTGGGAAGAATGTGAATACATACGACTTCTGTTTAAAACCTAATTTCAAATTTCGATGTACTATCACAGCAAACAACATGCCCTACTCTCTTTCAACGTATTGAGATTCAACCAGTTTTGCTCTTAATGCCTTCTGTCCCATAAAAAGAAGGTATGGTATGATTGTCAAAGAAGCGACTATATAACAGATTTTAAATGCCTTCAACAATTAGCATAACCCAAACCGTATCGTCAGTTAGAAAATGGCCGACATAATGAGAAATAGTTTAAGAAATAACTAATGGACTTGTTTATGACCAAAACATATATAACAGACAGGATCAAACAACAACCATTGACTTATAAGCTCTGCGCTTAGGACAGGCACATACAGATATGACGGGATTAAACATGTGTGTGAACGCCAACCGTTTACTTACTTTGGATACATGTATAACAGCACAAAATAAGAACAAACTGTAAGACACCATTTGAAAAACTTCAATTAAAACAGAGTACTCCCTTTACAGTACTCGCTTTTATTGAAAGCTAATTCTATGCACATTACAACAGATACATAAATCGTGTTTACCCTGAGTAAAATGTCAATCCGAACAAATCAATTGGTTTACGTTTAAAGATGTTACAAACATTCTGATGTGACCTTGTGCAATTGTAACAGTGGTTTGATTCCGCCAGTGTACTTTATCCGGAGGAAGAAAATCCCCAGTGATTTTTATCCACCAACAAAAATTCACTAGGTTTTTCTATCCGGGTCCAGTGTAAAACATCCACCAGTCATTATAAGGTTCTAAAAAGGGTTGTTTGAAGGGAAAAAATATATAAGATATGGCTTAATAGTTTTTAGTGTATTTGAAACTTGCATAGCTGATTTATATAAAAAGTGGAGAGTTTTCATCCAAGGAATGTTCACACTAGTGTTTTTGAACCAGGAATGATTACACTAGTGATTTTGTACCGGAATGATTGACTAGTTATTTTATACCGGGGCTTATTAACGAATAAGATTTAAATAATTTTTCTATGCAAATATATAAAATCATATGCTTTTAAATTGTCACTAATTGTAATATTTATATTTATTGGATTGCCGAAGTTTTTCTGTGTATTTGCTCTTCGGTCGACTTGGATATAAAATCATATCTTCTTTGTCAATATCAAAGGATGCTTCTATAATTGAAACTTTATGTAAGAACAAATCTGCTCTTTAGATTTGGTTTATATCAAGTTCAATGTCCTGATCATTGATAAAGTATTTTGAGTTATAAAAATATCCTCCTCGTCATCTACAATATCATTTACTAGATTGACTCAGATTAATTAAACTGGTTCCTTGAAAATTATTTTAATTTTAATCCATTTGTTTATGTAAACAATAAACCGATCAAATATAAACAAAACAACAATATCAAGATCGACTCTTTCACACTATTTACATCCAATATTCTCTAGTGAAAAACAGTTACCCGGAATAAATACACGGCGGAATGAAAGTACGCTTACACAATAACATGAAATAAATATTTACAGAATTTAGGAACGTTAGTGTCCATAACTGTATAGAAATGCATATGTATTTGATAGACAGTTAGGATTACTTTAGTTAATTAAGCTAGTATCTTAAACATGTATTGATCATTTATTGAAAAAATATCTCCAAGGTAAGGGCAGCTGTTGTTGAATATATGAATCAAATGATAAAAATATCTCAGTTTTGCTCTTTACAAAGCATCAATTGTTGTATACTCACAGACGTCTTTTAAAGTTTATGACTACGCATATTTATTATCAAATGTGGTCATAGACACAAAAGTAGTGCATTAAAGCGACTAAAAAGGTGTACATTATACAAATATTTCACCCCTGGACCAGATAAGTCGCACCCTTTGCTCAAAATGGACATTAAGGGGTTTGACTGCAGTTTTTGGTTCAAAATGGTACAAAGGACATACAATTGGTTTATCTTCTAACAGTATGATTAGCAACTGTCTTCTAGACTAGGTTTTGCTCCCTTTTAATGGAACTGCAAAATGCAATTTGCCAGAAACAGATATCAGACTGCTCGCCATTTTGATGGCATCTCGGTTGCAAAAAATCACCACGTGATATCTTATTACTACAAAACTAGTATGACAAACAGTTGTTCGTCAATCAGTATCTGTATGACTCACAGACATAATGGTTAAAAGGATTCACCCCTTCAATGATTTCGTTTGATGTGTTTGAGCTTTTGATTTTGCCACTTGATTAGGGACTTTTCTTTTTGAATTTTCTTCGGAGTTCAGTATTTTTGTGATTTTACTTTTTACCTCGCTTCAATTAAACAAATTCGTTACCGACAAAAACACAAGGATCGATATACATGTATGTTACCTTCTTATTTTCTTCCGCAATGATAGGCATTTAACGGGGTTTTCGGGTGCAGGATTGTGTCGTTGTGTTGAAGACATATTGGTGGACTTGCTGGTGTCTGCTCTTTGGTCGGGTTGTTGTCTCTTTGACATATTCCCCATTTCCATTCTCAATTTCATTTGAATCTATATTATTTTTTCATTTTTAACAAGGATATTTGTAGTAAAATCTTACTATTCTAATCTTTGGTCTAAATGCTATTAATGGAATATGCGTTTGGAATTAAAGTATAATAAAATTCTTCTCTATTCGTAAATCAAATATTTTTGTGACGACTTAAAATATCTTCTTGTGTTGAAACATTGAAAATAAATAATTTAAACTCCGAACTATTATGAAAAGCTTATCGTGCTAGCATTTTTTTGTTCCCCAATCTGGATGGTTCAAATACGACCAAATCAGTTCACTAGTGTGGATAATCAAAGGTAAAAGTATCGCGGTATTGGTTGTTCTTAATGAAGGTCAATCATCGAACACCTGATGGTATAAATGAGATATGTTTTGCTTTTTTCTTTTGAGGGGAGTTTTGATTTTTTTGTTTGTAAAGTTAATTTGATATCCAACTTCACAAAAATATCGTTCTATGTTATGATATCGGTGGCTGTAATTCGGAGTAGATTTTCTGAAACAACAGCATAAACAGTACAAGATGACACAAACTTGCGCAATGCAGGGTGAATTTGATTTAGAATTTTACTGATAAAACTATTCTGTTAACATGTTGGGGAAAACACTGTATACGATTAATTCTGTTTTCAAGTAGCAAAAACCGTGTGTCCCACTTTTATTTTTATCTTACATTATTGTTGTTTCCATTTTCAGTTATGACATTCCATATGATTTGACCTGAATTCTTACCTAAGCAGGCAACCCCGGCATCCTGAGAATGATAACAGTTAGTTCTGTACCAGCCATCTGATCTGCAGTTGTCAATATTCGTCTCATTACCAGTGCAATGTAAATAATCTAACAGAATAGAACCAGTTGCCCTTCCAAAATGAGCCCCACTAAATGCTTGCACTGCCCTGGAAATTATATGATTATGGATAAACAATTTTATTCATTATATAAGGTGAATCCAGACATTAAATCACGTATTATCTGTCGAATAATGAAATAAATGTATAAAAAATAGACATAATGAATGTGTTTTAGGGAATCCTTAAATTTATACTTGTGTTTCAAATTCTCCTCTCTTGTACCAGAAACTTTAATGTTTATCTTATAACAGATCTGAACAAAGATGACTTCATTTTAAGTAACTATTATGTCAAAGTGCTTGTAGTTTGTGGGATAAATTATATTTTGACTACTGGGGAAATATTTTGTTAAACCGGGTAAGTAAGTAACGAACGTCATAAGTTGTCTTTGCTCAAATCTTAATGATCTTCCCCTTCGGAAATTAAATGCTGAGTGAAAAATGCTAATAGCCTTTTGTAATTATATTTACAGATACTTAATGCTTTTAAGGAGGAATGGAGAAACAAAACAGGCAGCCATAACCAAAGTCGACATACAAGACAATACTATTACCAAATGAAAAGTGACAAAAGACTTAACATACGCCGAAATTTAAGATTGATCAACAGAAACCGAATTTAAACCGTTGTCTAATTCTTATCATTCATAAAGATAAGCAATCCTTGTTGAACGAGTGTCACAATCAATGGCCAAAAAATTCGCATTTCGCACGACATTTATCTGTTGTTAAGGACCAAATGTTGACCTGTAGTTGTCCGAAATACCCGTTTTTCATCCGGACATTACAAAAACAATAAGTATTGCTTGACTTCAAGATTTGAAGGGACAAGGAAAGTGATTAGATCAACCCGTTCAGAAAAACATGCATCCAAATTTAACACTTCCCGGTACTGCTTCCTTCATTGCTTCACATTATTGGTCACAGTCTGATCATATTCAATAAGAAGGAATTGATTTTTGAATACATGCATCCGAATTTGACAACTCGTACGTTTCACCCAGTAACATTTATTAATAAATCCTTAAAAATACCAAACTCAAAGCAAGAAACATATTGAAACTGGTAACTTTGTAGATTGGAAATTATTTGACTAGAATAAAAAAAAAACAAAAACAGTACCAAAAGTACAACAAATCTTCGCTAATGTTTTTGATATTTGATACAAAGAAAATAAACTCACCAAAGGCACCAGGTTTATAAATTATAGACGTTTTACTGAGAAGTTATCTAGATCTAGCAAATGCACTTATGAACGGTTAATTAAAATCGTTTACTACAGCGCAACACCTTAATGTTTGCAAAGCACCTGTTTTTTTCAAAGTATCCTCATATATAAATGTTTGTATTGGGAACAATTTTAGAGCTATCTAAGTACCATCATAGGATATTTCTTAGACTATGAAGCTACGCTATCATTCTGCAGTTCAACTTTTGACAGTCTTATGGTGTTTTTTTTTAATGAAACGGTGTTTTCTGTTGCTAAGATATCGAAATATATCTTATATATTAGTATTTGAATGATACTAAATATTATAATAAATATAAATCAATTGTTTTGTAAGCAATTGTTAGCGGCGGTCTTTCCCCTCTGAAACATAATTGATTGATTGATTGGTTTATTGGTTGGTGGGTTAGTTGGTTGGTTGGCCAAAAAAACACATTGGGCCTAGACTGTAGGAACATGCGAAAAACAAAAGAAGATCCCTCGTCCTCTATGAAACACATGGACCAGACACCTGCATAAGTGATTGGTTGGTTGGTTGGTTGATTGGTTGGTTGGTTTGTTGGTTGATTGATTGATTGATGGATTGATTGATTGATTGATTGATTTGATGTGCACTTTCTCTGTGCGAGGCAGCGAACTTAACGTCTATATTATGACCGAACGTGACTGCGTATTTATATATCCTGCACAGCCAAACGGACGCCTGAGATGTCCTCATAAAAATTGATCGTAGCATCCTTAGTTTATAAATTTTCTCTATTTTCTATGTTACCTCGGACTTCCATTTTTCATCTATTTGATGTGTATGCGTTTTGTAGGAAAACTGAGTAAATTTTATCATGGAAGTTTCTCTTTCTTTATTTGGATATGGAATGTTTTATTCTAAATTTAGGTCCGCGTAGATGGTGTTGAGAAGTCACGTGACCCTCGAATATATATGTCTGGAATATTAATATCTTTTCAAGGGAGACCGTTGAACAGAGCACATGTGTATTGATCAGAGTAACACGATAACTTTTGATTTTATTTTTTACAGGTCATTGATGTCGGATCATGCATTCATTTTACGTACACATGTTTACGGGAGCAGAGTTTTGTATTTAAATGCATGTTTAGAAATGTGATTGTAGGATTTCAGTAATATTTACGAACTTGGGAGCGGTTTCTACGTCATGGAATTTAATTTCTCAATCAAGCGCACCGCACGTGTATTTATAGCTAACGGGAATATATTTTCTTGATTCATTCTACAGATAAACTGATTTCTAATCGCTGATCACAAATCTTCATTCATTGTTGTTACAGTATTTTAACAAAACGTTCATCGATTAATTTCAGAAAATACATAAATTGGAGCAGATGTTTGCAGGGATGGATTTCTATTTCAGAAGTTTGTACATAAGAAGGATTGCTAATTTGACAGTAAAATGACAGTAAAATGTACGGGACTGAAGGCGATTTTCATTTTATGAAAATGAAGATTCCTTAAAAAAAATCAAAAAAAGGGGTGGTGGTAGGGTGGTGGGCGTTGGTTGATTAATTAAGATATGATGCATGTATCCATCATGATACCTGCTAAGTTTGAAGCTATAATTGGTTAATTTGTTCATTTTACCATTTCAGTGGCATGGAACCCCCCAAAAAATGACGCGTACCATTTCGACAAAAACTACAGTTATATTATGTCGCGACTAACATTTTGATCAAATTTCTTTTGTCGATATCTTCAACTTTTTCTGAGTAGAAGCAGCATGAAGTGAATGTCAAAATTTAGAATATGACCTTTACCTTTGACCATGACCTCATTTTCTAAAACGACTCTAGGTTTATACGGCTTACGGTTAATGAATTACAAACATATTACGACAGATGGTTTGGTTAAGGTAGATAACTCCTATAAGATTTCACTGGATCGCTTCGATCCAAATTAGCCAAAAATTCCTGAGGAAGTAACGAACAATTCAGAAGACATTTTGTCGTTATCTTTTTTTGTTACAAAGGAGATATGCACACACACAAGATAAACAGTGAATTGGGAGATAACTCTGACAAAGAAAATTGTTCAGCTTAGCAGGGGGAAATTTAAAAGCGCGTAAACTGTATGATACTATATAAAAAATAACTAAACGACATATCGGGAAACAAAAATTACACGCAAGAACAAATTTGGCGGAAGAAAAAAAAAATAATCAGAACAAATACAATAGGTCTTTCCACAAAAAAGTGGAAAGACCTAGTAATTTATCAAAATAAATGATAGAATGATACTAAATATAATAATGATAATTTATCAAAATATATGATAGAAATTATAGCAAAATGCAATGAATGAAAAACATTAAGACAACATTTTACGAATATATTGATTCACTGCACACTATTATATTGGGATAATTAAATCATAACGTATTATGGTTAAAGTCGTTTGTGGCTTGTTAACACGATTGAAATAAAGTTTGAATATATGTCGTGTCATACACATGTATCCTTTTATCAATTGTTTCTTGAACATTTAACTGTTTTCCTATGATAATCAATTGTAAAAACTATTTTTATGTCTAACCTTAAGATGAATTCAATCAGACATAATATATACATGTTCACCTGAACGGATAATCAAAATGAAAAAAAAAAGTTACCGATGAATTTTGTGTTTATTTTTTAGTTAGTTGTGTTTTGTTTTTTTGTGATGTATATTTACACAGTTTTAGCTGCTACATCCCAATAATTATCACATTAACATATTCTGCTTGCTTGGGTTACTCACCCAATTTCGTCAGTAAAACGGAATGTAACCAACTGTCATATAAGAAGGCTGTTTAGCTAGCTGTAAAACAAGGATTTACATACCATTTTCTTTGGAAAATACATTTACCAAGTAAGGAATATGGTAGGACAGTTGTTTTATGAAATTTGATGCGACTGTCATACAAGTGAGAGGTTAAGCACTATAAAACCAGGTTCAATCCATCATTTTTTACATTTGAAAATGCCTGTACCAAGTCAGGAATATGACAGTTGTTGTCCATTCGTTTGATGTGTTTTATCATTTGATTTTGCCATTTGATTAGGGACTTTCCGTTTTGAATTTTCCTCGGAGTTCAGTATTTTTGTGATTTTACTTTTTACATTCGTTTCGTTAGTTGGTAAAGTGTCACTTTTAATTTTGTCAATTTTGATGGACTTCCCTCTTTCTTAGTTTACCTCGAAGTTTAGTATTTTTGCTATACTTTGTCTGCCGTACACACACACACACAATTATTTGTTTAAACCATAACCTTTTTGATATTACCTCTAAAGCTTGAAATGGCTAATTTGGCTAAACTATATCTTTTATAGATATGACTGTCATTTGCAAATTTCATGAATATTTAAGTCCATAAAATATATCTGCTTCATATGTTATAACATCACATTGCAATTGGAAATGTTCTATATATACACACATAAATATAATAAGTACGTCTGAACCAATGACAGATTTTTTCCATCGGATCACCAGTGATGGTGATACAAGGCTGAAAACACATTCTGCATCCTACAATAATTTGTAAGATCCTCTACGATAGATAACTCAGCTGATCTGTATTGTCCAATCTTTATGCCTTATATATATCATGTACTGTGTTACTACGCTAGATAAAAACTGACGAGGAAAGGTAACACCCGGCCACTGAAAGCTTGATTTTTGTCGAGCCTATGTGGTCGAGTGGTCTTACGCGCCAGGCATAGTGCAAGGCGATTTGGTGCAACGATATCTCAGTAGCATGAGTTCGAAAAGTTCGAAAGAAAGAAAAAATTTGCTTCCGCAAATTTAC